TGGTACTGTTCATTTGCTGGTTGAGTGCTCTCGCATTGTGGAATTTCACCTCATTCTTATAGTTTATCAATAATATAATTCTTATTACATATTTTGATGCGTGCAACATCTTATTATAGATTCTATTGTTTTCATCTTCTTATAATTTTTTTGAATGAATAAAAGTGTTTGAGTTAGGCGTAAAGTGGTAATCAAGCTCTACGTAAGATCGCTCATTTCATTGAAAGCTACTATGGATAAACGTGCACCAAACTCCTAAAAGAAGTGCTACTGTGAAACATTTTCATGACGTAGAACAGCCACCCACCAACTCTCACCGATCGATGTTCTGTCACCCATTGGACACAACGGCAAGAAACACCTCCAATTTTTCTCCTTATTTGAACGTCACGAAAAGGTTTCTATGGCCAATGTTTGCTTAAAAGTCCCTTTTGCACAGTGTTTCTTTTTAATCAAAGTGATGCGACGCTTGCTTCTGCTTTGAAATTAGGGTCACAGCCACAAAATGCCATGCAAATAATGTCAGAATGGACAGCATAGCTCGCTCATAATTGAGATGCCTGACAAACTATGCCTAATTGATTAAATGTCACCTAAGTCGATGGCTATCAGGACTGTAGAATTTGGTTCGTGCGTCAGCATCAGCAGCTTGCGTCATGCTCAACGTACTTTTGTGATGTACATCGAACTGTTAGTTAACCTACTGTTGTAGCTTGCGTCGCACCGTTTAATAATTTACTGTTGTAAATATTGCAACCGTCTCACTAGTAGGTCACCTACTATTGTAGCGTACGCCATCCTGTTTAATAACTTACTATTGTATGTACGTATATATAGCAACCGTCTCTCTAGTAGTTCACGTACTATTGTAGCGTACGTCACTGTACGTACTATTGTACCTTAAGAAGCCTTTTGGCACGAAGCACCATAGCATCATTGGTCACTTTTTACATAGTAATGTTGCAACTTACAAACTACCTTGGTTGGTTTTCATGGAGAAATGTGGGAATTGTTTGCTGCGTTTCTTGAAGACATATTCTATCCTCATTATCCTATAATATTTCAATATTACCATTGTTTATAGCCATCGGCTGCGTTTTTAGAGTTTTCTCTCAAATCCACACGTTTTTGCACCACAATCTTCACAATTTCTGCATTATACATCATTTTTACAATCTCTGCAATTGTACACAATTTGCACAGTCTCTGCCCGACAATTCGCACAAAAAAGTTGCAAAGATTACTCAAGGATATATTCCTTAACTGGATTGTCCACTCATCTTTAAGGTTATTTTTATTGTTGATTGTTTCGCTGGTTTGAATTTTTCTAAGTCAAACACCACCTCATTTAGCTTGTGATATCCGCAAATTTCCTTAAAATTTTAACACAATTTTTAACTATAATTGATTTCAAGATTTTTGCTATTCTGCTATCCACGTTCCTCAATGTTCTTCTCTGAAGTTTTTTACTTTACTGTTTCACTCTTTTTACTCTCGTGCTTTCAAATTTTTTACTCTTATGCTTTTAAATTTCTTACTTCCAGGCTTTTGAATTTTTTACTCTCGCGCTGTCAATTTTTTGCACTTAATTTCTTTTAATTATTCCGTGTGATAACGAGCGTTGTTGGCTGCTGAACGGTTTTAATGGATTTTGTCCCAGGCTTAGATTTTAACGGCATTTTCTGTATCAGGAAAGTTCGATTGCACCTGACCACAATGGCTTGTGTTTACACACCATTTCGATACTGATAAATTTTCAGTCCACTATTGTTTTACTCAATAGAATTGATGTGGAGGTTCTCGATAATGTTTAAATAATATTAAAATTCAATGAAAAAAATTCAGTAGATTCTTACTAATGCTGAAATACCACTAAATTTATAGACGGACCAGCAATTTTTCTATCTAGTTTAGACGACGCCAGCCACTAACTACACATCAGAAGATATTCACTAAATATTCAATCTTGCTGACCTCCGCCCTATCTCAGAAAAATTTGAGTATCATTGTCTAAATCGTGATGCAATTTTAGAATTTTTGTTCGTCATCCTGTGCTCTGTACAGCTCGGCAAAAAAAGGCCGCATCAGTGCTGCGTCCGCTCGCTTACTGGGCGTAAATAGGGAAATATGTATGTCATTATTTGGGTAATATGACTCATTCATTTTTCTGAGTGCCGCACACCCGGGATTTGTTTGCGATGCATTACAGAAATCGAGCCTACAAATAGTAAAAAAAAAAACAATAAAATAATAAAAAATTCGTAAGTTATTTGTAAGGCAGGGGCTGTTAATGAATTGTTTGATCTCGATGGCTATTAGTAGGAATGTTTGATAGCGTCAGCGTTTTGTACTAAAGGTTTTAATGAGAAATGAGTTTTTATTCAGCAAGTATGGTGAGAAGTGATGAATAATGTCCATGTCAGTGCACAATAATTATTGATTGGTGATCAATAATTATTGATTGGTGATCAATCCTTGTTTGAGGCTGTAATATATCCTTCGAGCTGCAATTAGAATCTTTTGAAATGATTAAAATTTGATATTTACCTATTGAAAGCCATTCTAATGTAATAATAGTACTACGAATAAATCTCGTCGGAAATTCTTAATACTCTTGTGTGACTGGAATAACAAACTTTATTCCAAAAAATTCTCTACATAATAGTATTCGATGAGGTGCTGATATTTACTGATGAGGTGCTGATATTTACATGTTTTTCTGGCCATTACGCAATTGATAAGGTGCGTTGGGTGCGTTAAGTGCTTCGCTGGCGCGTCTCGAGGTCCCCGACGTCTGCGGCGCATCAACGTGTTTCTTTCAGCGTATTTCCCTCAGTGCAACAGCGTATTTCTTTCAACATATTTCTTTCAGCGTATTTCCCTCAGTGCAACAGCGTATTTCTTTCAACATATTTCTTTCAGCGTATTTCCCTGAACGTGTCAGCGTATTTCCGTCAGCGTATCAGTATTTCTTTCAGCGTATCAGCGTATTTCCCTCAGCGTATCAGCGTATTTCTTTCAGCGCATCAGCGTATTTCCCTCAGCGTATCAGCGTATTTCCCTCAGCGCATCAGTATTTCCCTCAGCGTATCATCGTATTTCCCTCAGCGTATCANAGGAAATAGGATTCGTTTTTCGGTGTAGCTTAGGAAATAGGGTGTGTTCCCTAGTGTAGCTTAGGATACAGGCATCATTCTTCGATGTAGCTTAGGAAATAGGGTGTGTTCCCTAGTGTAGCTTAGGATACAGGCATCATTCTTCGATGTAGCTTAGGAAATAGGATTCGTTTTTCGGTGTAGCTTAAGAAATAGGGTGTGTTCTCTAGTGTAGCTTAGGAAAAGCTTAGGCAATAGGGTGTGTTCCCTAGTGTAGCTTGGGAAATAGGATTCGTTTTTCGGTGTAGCTTAGGCAATAGGGTTTGTTCCCTAGTGTAGCTTAGGATACAGGCATCATTCTTCGTGTGGCTTAGGAATAATTGTTCGCTTTTCAGTGTCTTTGGAGAAATAGGGTTCGTTCTTCAGCGGAGCTAGGAAATATGATTCGTTCTTCTGCGTAGTTTAGAAAATAGGGTTTGGTCTTTTGTGTAGCTTTGGATATAGGGTTCAGTCTTCGGTGTAGTTTAGGAAATAGGGTTCGGTCTTCAGCGGAGCTAACAAATAGGTTTCGCGGTGGTAAACAGCATACAGTTTAGGTAATTGGGTTCATTCTTAATCATGGCTACAGAATTAGGGTTCGTTTTTAAGCGTAGATACATCTTTTTTTTTTGCAGTTAAGTAAATGGGATCATTTGGGTTGAAGTCGTTTGCATTTCTTAGGTCGTAGTATGTCTGTCATCTTCTATGCTCTACGGATTAGAACCGTAACCGAACATAGCGCGCTGCAACTGAACTGTAGAAATGCTCCTCAATGGAGCTAGAAAAATCTCATGAGATTAAGCAATAATCTCCAGTTTCTTATTTTTACTGGCAAATAAATTAAAAAGTGCGTAAATACTACGCAGAACGCAGTAACTGTCGATTAAAATCGTTCATTTGCCGACCGTTCGCTGCCCTGCGTACGAATTATAGCAAGCCTCCCAAAAATTCGCCTCTGATCGGGCAAAAATAGGTCGGGATTACAAACACAATAGCTACAAGTGCATTGCGATTTGGATATGGTCTCACTCATTTCTTTGAGTGTGGAGGACCATCAGGCTGTTTGTTGTTCCTTTATCCCATTGCTCCTGACGTCCTCGGAACAAGTATCCTGCAGGGAACAACGTTGCGTTGTGGTCCCGAAACTGCCATAGGCTCGGCCGCGATAGGCCTCCTGTGTCAACAGCCTCTCGGCTCCCAGCTCCTACCTCAGGCTGGCTAACGAGCTCACCGCTTTCCATCTACTTTCTATTTCGTCTGATATTTTTTTACATCTAGTGTTGTTTATTCCATGAAAATTTTAGCAATATTTTATATATTTTCTGAGATGTTGTTCTTACAAGGTCTTATGGCAAATGATAGACAGTAAGCAGCATACAGTCTTTAGTATATTGGCCGCACTTCCGTGTGTTTTAAGAATTGAATTTTTGGTTCTTCAAATTCTGAAAAAAGCCGCTGTTCCCTTTTATTTTTCAAAGATGCTTGAATTTTGTTAATTCTAACAATTCATCTCAATATTTTGAATTCCACGCAGAAAGTTTTGTGGTAAAATTCTTAAACGCGAAGCGCTTATTTCAATTCATGTTGCTATTATTTGAAGGGATTTAAGAACAGTTTCAAATTTCCTTTTTAGTTGAATTCATGTTACTTGAATTTTACTAGATTAAAGAGCAGTTATGGAATCCCGTTTTATTTGGAATCATTTTGCGGTGATATCTATGGATTTTAGAGCAGTTTTAAATGACAAGCGAGCGCGCGGATCAATGCTCTTATCTTGAGATCTGAGGAGAGCACAAGGCGCCTCGAATAGCACCTGTCGATCGGCGACCTGAGCCTGAGAATCGATGAGCCGCTCATGTGAGGGCTGGCGTGGATAAAGTGCTTACGCTGCCCACGCACGAACTTGACGGCAAGAAGGTGGGTCATAACGACACACTTTTTGTATGTATTCAGGACTTTGTCTTCATTATGGATAATATTCTATGAAATTATTTTTAGGATTGACTTCTACGACAGATTAACGTTGTGTCGCTGGAGCATGTCTATGAAACTGTAAAGTTTAGTCCTGCTACAGAATTTTTTTACAGTGTAAATAATAGGCCTATATTATTGAAGTATTTTTTGGTTTAAGAAAATTGGTGTGTTTTGAGTGCATATTGATAACCTCATTTTACGGTGTAATTTTACGTAGATGTTCGATGATTGAATGCTACGATCTTTTCTGCCTTATGCCGAGAATGAATATGAGATTGATATGATGAATATGACCGTGAATATGATATCACAATATGCACTATTGAATTTTTTTTGAAGTGATGCACATTAGCGTGTGTGGCGTCATTATGTTATATCAAATCAAATAATTGAGCCATCCATTAAATTTTGAAAATAAAAATCCTTTTTTTTGTTTATTGCACCCAATCCTCGGGGGTAATATTACCTACTGAAGCTATAAATATGGCAGAGCAAAATTGATCCATAATGCATCAGGTCATAAACCTAAAATTAATGTTACTCCATGACGCATCAGGTCATATTGCCATAATTAATGTTGCCTTATAATATATAAGGTTTTTATTGCTATAACTAGTGCAGTCATATACTGCATCAAATTATATTGCTACAATTACTGCATCAGCAACACTGCACCAGGTCATATTGCAATAATTAATTCATCAGCAACATTGCACCAGGTCATAATTACAGCATCGGTAATGCTCCCCAAGGGGTGGCCGCAATTGACTTCTTATTACCGTTTTCTGCGGCCGTCACGAGAGCAGGGGTGACTGATACAAATTGATGGCCCCAGGGCGCCGCCCCCCATAAACGCCACTAATTGCCTGGGCTTTTATGCCCGTAGGGCCTACGGCCCCGTGACGCTTGGCTTTGCTGTATCACTGTTAGGAAATACCTCTTGTGTAAATTGTGTAGCGTGCCCTCCTTGTGTAACTTGTGTAGTGTGTGTGTTAGTATGGTTGCCTTTGTGCCTGCAAGGATTTGATTTATCCTACCTTTATCATATTTTTCAATAATGCCTTTGCATCTACCGGCCGAGACCCTATCATAATTTATTGCAATTTAATACTACCTAATATCCATGGTCCCTAAATTATATAATAATTCATTGCTATCTCATATGGGTGCTGCTCAAAATCTAATTAATGATTTTCCTCTTCCCCAGATTGACCCAAAACTGGCATTCCCACGACGTGCTCACCCAAAGGTAAGTCTAATTATTTATCTAATTATTTAAATTATTAACGTCGTAGGCATGCTATAGCATGAGATATTTTTTTCATCTGATCCACGGTGTGCAAGATTTTGTTTCCCTGACGTGGCTTCTTTCAGATACTGAAATGTATCCTAAATATTTATGCTTATTAGGCTAGCAAAAATCACCTGTCTATTGCTGTTTACCATTAACTGAACTGCTAATTATCACAACCAAATATAAGTGTACGGTCGTTGTGAGGTAAAACGAACGCAGTGTTCAATCACCAGCGAGAAAATCAAATGTGAATGCCCGATCGTTAAGAAATATCACTTTTCTCATACAACCGCGGCTCAGCAATAGCAGTAATGGACGTCCAGATAAGAATTACTGCCCCGTTCGCGACCGTCGAAAATCGGCCAAACATCGACCACTTTTATACCACGTAAAATTTATGACAAAGCTGAGGTTATTCCTGTCTCGTTTGATCTAATAATGAGCGCCGTGCTGTGTGCTGTGTCACTGCACGCTGTGTGCTGTGTCACTGCACGCGGTGTGCTGTCACTGCGCGCTGTGTGCTGTGTCACTCTCTTATACACATCTAGATGTGTATAAGAGACAGTGTGAGGGCTGCACGGCTCATGTGAGGGCTGCACGGCTCATGTGAGGGCTGCACGGCTCATGTGAGGGCTGCACGGCTCATGTGAGGGCTGCACGGCTCATGTGAGGGCTGCACGGCTCATGTGAGGGNACCTGCCTTATCATTCCTCATGACCAGCCTGACCTGCCTTATCATTCCTCATGACCAGCCTGACCTGCCTTATCATTCCTCATGACCAGCTTGACCTGCCTTATCATTCCTCATGACCAGCCTGACCTGCACCTTATTCCTGGTCGCGCGCAACTTCCTAAGATTTTGCAACTGTTAGCAAATATAAATCGTAATCGACGCTTATTATAGAGCTGGATATTTTAAAATTTTCTTACTTAGATTGCACGTCAATTTCTGATCATTCGTTGAGAGTCTGTACTTGCGTCGTGATTGTTAATCACTGCAGACTTACAGTGCTGTTCGGCATTCGTGATTTATTGTGTTTGTTTTAATGACTCGCGAATATTCAATGTTTCTCGTTAACTGACATTTTATTGTATCGTAAGATAATACACTACACTGATGCACTGGTAAGCTGATACTTGATGATGGATACTTGATATTTTTTTTAAATAAGCTGAAAGAAATGACATGAGTTCTGAGCTGTTGTATGTATGAGGCAAATGAACACCGCGCATGATATGCTGTGCTGTGACGTCGCATGAACACCGTGCGCATGAATATGATGCATTTATTACTGTAATAGCAGCCGAGTGATGAGCATGACGCATTCAGTATAGCAATAGCAGCGGAGTGATGAGCATGACGCATTCAGTATAGCAATAGCAGCCGAGTGATGAGCATGACGCATTCAGTATAGCAATAGCAGCCGAGTGATGAGCATGAGCATGACCCGTGGCATGAGGCGGCATGCGCAGAGGCCGAGGTCCCAGAGGCCATGCGTGCGGCTGCCGTGCGCACGGCGCATCGCGTGCGTGCAAGCATCAGGGCACAGATTACAGCGCCAGACTTGGCTCGCCTCGAGGCACATGGAGGGCCAGCCGGCCAGTCCACACGCGGCCTGTGCACGAAAATGACCCCAGACCTCTTGGTCTGCCAGTCTTCATGCGGCTTGCTCATGAAAACGATCCCAGACCACTTGGTCTTCCAGTCCACAAGCTGCCTGCACACGAAAATTACCACCGGACCACTTGGTCTGCCAGTCCATCTTTATCTCCTCATAAAATAATCGCAGACCACTTGGTCTGCAGTCTACACACGGCATGCACACAAAAATGACCCCAGATCTCTTGGTCTGCCAGTCCGTCTCTGTCTCCTCATAAAATGATCCCAGACCACTTGGTCTGAAGTCTACACACGGCATGCCCACAAAAATGACCCCAGATCTCTTGGTCTGCCAGTCCGTCTCTGTCTCCTCATAAAATGATCCCAGACCACTTGGTCTGCAGTCTACACTCGGCATGCACACAAAAATGACCCCAGATCTCTTGGTCTGCCAGTCCATCTCTGTCTCCTCATAAAATGATCCCAGACCGTTTGGTCTCTTGGTCTGCCAGTTCTTCATACGAAAATGACCTCCGATTACCAGTTCTTCTTATGGCATCACTGATCAAAGGCTTATCCATCAACCGGTTATAACTGCTGCCTTGCATAACCTGTTATAATTACCGCATTATATTGCAAGTTGGGTTTCGGCACGCCATTTATAGCGGGCTAAACCTTCTCTCAGTGGAGGCAGTCTAAATATTAGTAATTCAGAGCCTTCTTGCCGATCAACGTGTATGAAATCGTCTGTTATTATTATTATATAACTCGTAAAATGGTTAACACGAGATAGGGAAATTTCACGTTTTCTGTGTTGCCTGACTGTAAAATAATTTCGATTTCCAAACCAAACTATGAATTATGTGTTAAATGATAAAAAAATAACATTTCTCTTTTCCTATAATGGAACATAGAAGGGAGCGACATGCTATTCTTTGGCTAGGATAGAGTGCTCTAGTGATACCACTCTTTGGTAATAGTTGAGGTGATGAAGACAATGGGATTCCACCTGGCACATGCCGCTGAAATAACAGGCACGGTTTTCTTGTTAACCAGAAGTAGTTGATGTTGTTTAAACGAAATTAACTTGTAATAAACGTTTTTCAATATTTCCCTTGCTGAATGCTATTCTTTTGCTTCGATGAGACGTGGAAGTCAGGATGCTATGTCCATACTTGAAGCCTCCTCGCCACGGCCTGCTGCTCGCGTGACTGTATGTATAGTCAGAATTAATCTTCTGTTCAGGCTCCTGCTGATCGATGCCCGGTCTTTTGAGACCATCCTTGCGTTTTCTTCCTCAGGGCTCGCTGTATTCTTGCAGCAACTTCATGTTTCGTACATCATTGAAATCCGAAGTGAAGGATTACCGGTGTTTGCTATTCGTCAACTCAAAACGTATTCAGCTGAATTCAACCTCGATAACCTCATTTTTACGTACAAAATTGTCATGTAAGCCTGCTAAGTGAAGGAGTTTAGACGGTTTTCTCAACCTGTTAAAATAGTTCAAGTTTTTTATTGAGATATTAATACTTAAATCCCATTACCTATACGACCTATATTTATGCTCGATTTCAAAATTGCATTGTCTCTCTTGAGAATTTCTGGGTACTCTAAATTCTAAATATCAGTCTCTTATAGAATCTGATTTTCCTTTTACCAGCCCTCACAGTGCAAGCGGCCTCATATCATGGCTCGCGCCAAAAATACAGTACCCGGGAGTTCACATTTCAGTTGTGTAGGCTTAGGCTGTGGGCGCGGAGGGCAATGAATAGGCTATACAGTGAGAGAAAATCAAGATTTAGCGCTTATGACGCCTCCCTGGGCGCTACTACAGCGGCGGAGCTAATGTTTCTATAGAGCGCTTTATATGCTAACTGCAGCGCCACGTAGCTGCTCCAGTCCCACGTGTATACTCAGAGAAATTAGTGGGAATACGTTCAACATAGAGTGATACATGGGTCATGCTGCCCCTGATTTTGACATTAATATTGCGGAGATGTAATTTCAGAAAATTAGTTCGATGATGCAAACATGGGTTAAATATTTGAGAGAACTATTAAGTATTACATATTGATTCTTATTGTAATACAATTCCTGATATATATTATAGTCAAAACACAGACCGTGTAAATAAACTATAGGTAATCTTGAGAGACGCACATAACAGATAGACCAATGCATGATTTTAAATCCTAGATACGATGCATCTCAGTTGTTAATAGTTGTAAATGCTGCCCAAGGACGCGTGAATTGTAACACCATGTTCGAGATTCTGGATCCTGCAAATCCTATAAATCCATCTTCTAAACGACAACAATATCTAGGCCGGAACATGAACAGGCCGGAACTATAGAAACATGAACACTATAGGAATATGAACCCTATTGAAACATGAACCCAATAGAAACATGAACCCCATATATGAAAATGAATCCATAGAAACATGAACCCCATCTAGGAAAATGAACCCTATAGAAACATGAACTCTATAAGAACATGAACCCAATATAAAAGACATATCCGAAGTAATCTAGAAGATCTATTCGCGCTCATTATTTACGAGCGCTGACGTAGCTGTCGAATTGCTTCATTACGAACTGTGCTGCTGAAAAGAAATCTTGCGAGTGTTGGCGTGAGCCCATTTAAGAAAAGCTCCTCCTTGAGGCCGAGCTGTCACTTTGACGTTTGTAGTTCATTTGTTTCTTTTTAGGGCGTAGAGAACTCGAGGTATCTTCGCCAAGATAATAAAGGCAACTGTTGGATTATTCGTGTACGTCAAGCTATATGGCAGCGATCTTCATTTCTCCAGACTGATATCGAAGCGTGGAAAAATTTTCTCTTTTATCTGGACAAAATTAAGATTTTTTCTTCTGATTATTATGTTCGAGTTATTCCGCTTCTAAACAGACAGCTTAGAATTGCATTGGACGGTGGAATCGCTGGTCCCTAGCGAATGTTATATATTCTGTGATGGCATATATCATCAATCAAGTGGGCTGAAGCCAGATCGAGTTGATGAAAGCGATGTCAAATAATCTGCAATATAACGAACTTGTTAACCGGAAGCGTGAGGAATGAACAATGTTGGTTGTTCAAGACCAGCAGTATGTTGAAGGAACACTGCTGCTTGGCTATGAATAACAAGCAGTACGGTGAACGAATAATGAGAGTGTGATGGTATAGAAACAATACGGGCGTATTAAAAAGCGGACTGCAGAGCACTAGCAAGCAGGTACACACGCGTGCACAAATGGCGAACGGAGACGCGCATGACACAGACGTCAAGTGAGACCCACAAATAGATCACAGGACCTGGCGTGTCTCTAAACAAAAACAAGCTCCTGAAGAAGCTCTA